GAGTGAGGGGTGTGCGCTTCTGGAAGCGCTTGCGCCGCCAAGCCGAGAGAGCGGCGAATGCGCGGACTGTCGACGAGATGCGCACACTTGAATGGCGAGACTTGATCCGTGACGCGGCTGTCGGCGCCGGTGTGGAATGCCCTTCTTTCATCGTGCCTCCTCCTCCTGGTTGCGTATTTCCTTGCCGCGAGTGCGATGCCCCGCTGCGCACGCATGCGTTTTGGGCTTCGCACAGAACGAGGGCTCATCCAGGACTGGACCCTGCAGGCCAGCTTGCATCAGAGTCTGCGTGCCAATCACGTTGTTTCAACTTTCACGCGATATTACGGTTGCTGAAGTACTCGCGCCGCGGGAAACGTTCGTGTTTAGCCAACCTGCTCGCGGTGCTGCCCGAGTTGCCCCCTGAACATCTAGCATGCGAGCGCGCATCAGACGCCGAAGTTCCCAGAGGTTTGCGCAGGCAGGGATGCTATGAGGAGAAAAACACTGCCCCGCCATCACGATTTGTTGGGCCTGGTTTGTCAGGCGCGGCCGTCTCCTTGGGGTTCCCTGATGCTGCGTGCCGCGTTGGGTGCCACCCCGCGCCTGTGGAGGCGAACGTGGCGCCCCTGTTTCCACCTGCTCCTGCCGCGCCTTTCTTTGCCCCAGTCATGCACATACTACGCGTCACGTGCTGCACGCGCAGGCTGCATGATATACAATGGTGGCGCGAGGAGATTGCTGCAGCTCGAGGTCTGCGATTTGCGTTCTCACTATCACCCCTGATGCCATTGAATCAGAGGCTCAACGCAGTCAGTTAATTCAATTTGTTTCGTCCAGAACCGTGCTCGCAGCGCCGGCGCCCCCCAGGGTCGAGACGCGGTGCGAGAGGCGAGATAACCGTGCCGGGCCTTTTCGTGCAGTTGCCCATCCATGGGGTACCCCTGACCTTGCCCCCAAAGATTGGGCGCGTGTGCAGGTTGATAATTCCGTGTTGCGTTTTGCCATTGCAGTATCGATCGCGGCCCGCGCGGTGCAGATTCCGTTGGTGTTGGTGCATGTGAATCATCGAGTCGCCCCGCACCTCCCGTCCCCCTAGTCGCTACCTGAGCTCGACTGGACCACAGGCCGCTCAGATATTTGAGATTTCATCCTCTGTATGTCTGACTCAGCGCATGCCCATGAGGATGATTGTTTCAGGTTTGCACACGCTCGGTGATGACTTCAAGGCAGGCTTTGATTGCCTGGATGGGTTTGGAACCTCCTCCATCCATTGGCCTTTTGCCATGTGCCGTGTTGTTGCTGAATGCCTGTGTGATCATGCTGCTCGATCGGCCCCATCGTGTTCGATCGGCCAGTTCACACCGCCCGAGTCGGGCCGTGCTCCCATGTACATGCCTATGGACCCCCATGAGAGTTAGTCGGGAGCGCCGCCGACGGTGGCGAGGAGGCCCGCCACCGCGCCCTCTCTTCTCGTATCTCTCTCTCTCTCTCTTTCTCTCTCTCTCTCTCTCTTTCTATCGCTTGCATGTGCTGTCATCGGATCACCACAGACTTCATGTCTTGCAGGGCTGTAATTACGCACGAGGAGGAGGAAGAGGAGGAGGAGGAGGAGAAGGAGGAGGAGGAGGAGGAAGAGAGGGAACGGGGAGGAGGAGGAGGAGGAGAGGGAGCGAGGGGGAAGCGGAGGAAGAGGACGAGGTCCCCCGCCGCCGCCCTCCACCGCGCGCCCGGGGGACCCCCCCCCCTCCCCCCGCGGAGGTCCGGAAGCTCGCGAGCCACCTCAGGGATGGGCCAGGCAGGCTGGCCAGTTGGGGGCGGGGGGGGGAGCGCCGCGCCGGGCGGAGGGCAGCCGCGAGGGGGTGGAGGGGGGCGTGCCTGGTCAGCCGAGGGCAGCGGCGGGAAGGTCCTCCTCTGTTCCTTTGCTGGGCCGGGGGCGATCTGCCTGCGGCGTCAGAATGGCGGCCGCGCGCGGCCGCCGAGCAAGCAAACGTGCCTTGCGAGAGGCAGCATGTACAAAGCGACCCTTAAAGAAGGAAGATGGAGCCACCGAGCACGGCAGCGCAGGGCCGCACCGACAGGGTCGAGAGCTCCAGGATGGACAGCGCAACAGTCTCAACCTGGCCCTGATCGTTGAGCATCGAGGTCGAGGCCCGCAGGGGGCTGGGAGTGGACCGAGGCGGGGCCCATGGAGGCCAGGGCTAGGTCTTGGCTCAGGAGGCCGAGGGGCGCCAACACCCATCGCACCTCCTAGAAGCCATCGTGTAGCCCGACGCAGCGTCACGTGCAAGAGATCGAGAACGAGGTTGAGCAAGCAATGGACGATGGCGAGGTGGAGAGGGTGAGGCTGCGGATGGGGGAGGAAGCCAGCAGGCGGCTCTTGGCTACCGATTGTGCCCCTGCGCCACGCACCGCACCCCATGCATCCGATCCGCGTTAGGGCCAGATCCATGGCCGCCCACATGGGCAGGGAGCAGCGAGAAAAACAACAGTCAGATGGCAAGGCGACACTGTACACAAG